GAACAGGCCCAACTCTCTCAGCCTTTCCTCATAGGGCAGATGCCCCTTGATCATCCTCATAGCCCTGCGCTGGACTCTCTCCAGCAGTTCCACATCCCTCTTGTACTGGGGAGCCCAGAACTGGATACAATACTCCAGATCAGGCCTCACCAAGGCTGAGTACAGGAGGATGATCACCTTCCTCAAGAAAGGATTATAGAAATTGGACAGTTTTTCTCCATTCTCCTGTTGCCACTAATGAAGACAGAATATGAAGCTAGGTAGAGCACTAGTCAGGCCTAGTAGAACATTTCTTACATTGTTAGAAAAAACATGGCACCTAATTAATTCAATGCCGCCGTTAATTCAGCAGAGAAAATGACATTTGTGCCCCTATTTCATTTGGTAAAAATATCAGTGTTTAATACTCCAATACTCATACTCCAATGCTGGAAAATAACACCAACTATACAAGTTTCCTCATTAGCACTGACACTGCCAGACTATATACCACCTCAAATTTCCCTGGCCTTCACTTCAGGCCCATACTGCTTATGAAGGCTATGTGGCTAACTGAAGTCAGCTATAAATTCCACCAAAGTCAGACTTCATCTAGTAAAGGTCATCTCTAGCTTGCAGGCTTTGTTCAGCATTCAGAAACTCCCCGGTTCTGCACATGGTATTTGGTAATTCAAGTCCCCATGTATCTGGATACACTGCAGCTTGCTTCTACCCCTTCAGCTACTAAACATGTCATCAAACATTATGAGAGTTCCCAAACTCCGTCTCTTCAAGAGTGGTTGCATAAGCTGTGACAGCAAGGGACAGGTAGCAAGGGACATGGTGGCAACAGACTCCGATCTCTCACAGACGACTGGAGAGGTAAAAAGATTCATCCTGTCCAGAGATATAAAAGCCTGATTTCTTCAACAGCCTCCTCAGCAGCATGTGTTCTGTTAACGTGACTCCCAGTTGCATTTATGTTCTGTCCCTATAGACAACGTGTGTCTCATTAAAGTCGGTGTACCTGCTGAGTCCTTCAAAAATACCCTATTTTGCTGCTGATCTCCCCAGCACTGGGATTCTCAGTCTGAACATCAGCAATGCTTTCAGACACAGGCCTGATGCCAATAACCTAGAGGTATGTGACGCTTTCAACAGTATTTATTATATATCACCACCATCATAATACTGGCAATGGGCTTGCCAGTACTAAGCTGTGCTATTTTAGGATAGCCCATGTGATATACCCACATGTTCGTCCCGTCAAAGACTTTGGAGGGCAGGTTATGCTCATGGCATAGTTTTACTTTGTGGTGCCTTTAGTTTGGGAAGCCAGAGCAGGTCCACAGGGATGCACAGTGGGATCTCACCCCATCACTAATGCTTCAGCTTTAGAAACCACACTATCCACAGAATGGATGCCACAATGTAGGATGTTCCCTTGTCTACTTTCAGTATTTTTTTTCTCAAAACCTCTCGAGACATACATATTAAGGGTACAAACATGCAAAGCTCATGCAAAAGATCCATGTTGTTCTGCTTACCTATACGTATGTTTTACCAAGTAGCCTTTTAGACTAAGTCATACTTGATAACATCTTTCAGTAATTTCCAATCTCCCAACCTGAATGATACCAAAAACAAACATCACCCACTGTCAGAGTTAAGTGAGGCTAGATAAAGTGTTCAACACAAAGCGAATCCTAAAAGGCCTCTGCTCTATGAGACACCAGGGAGGCCGGGATATGCTCTTTGTAGATCTGCCAACTGCAAAATTCCAAAAAACAGGAAAGCAGGAATTGGAGTATGTTATAAAATAAATAAATACAGGGAAGGCCAAGCCACAAGGTAAACAGATAGCTATCATCTAGACACATGAGAAACTATTGTGTGCCAAAAGCTTACACTACTGCTGGATGCATTAGATCTGTGGCCTAATTATCTATATCATGAAAAAATAACAAACTTCTAACATCTGACCAGCTGCATGTTTCCCAGCTAGTGAGTCCCTATGCTGTTCAACAACCATGGCTATTTGTTTGAAATTTTTGAAAATTGAAATTTGTTTGAAAATGAAATTTTATTTCATTTCTTCCAAAATATTTTTTTTTTTTCCAGAAAGGTCACACTTTTCTTTCGGTACAAAAGGAAAGGAATCAGAAATCGTAAATTCCCATTCCCCTGCTGCTGTGTGGATCAGTGACAAATAGTCAAGAAAGTAGAGCCATATTCTCATTTAAATGCATATAAATGAGCCAAGGTTTTATTTTATAGTGATTTTCCCTCCTACCTTGCTATTTCTTCCGAGGAATAACATGACAAACCAATCTTCTGTCACTGAAAAGTCTGTACTGTCATTTATCCATTCTAGATATTCCCCAGAAACATTCTGCTCACTTCATAAGCACATCTTGCTTAGGAATGAGTGGCAGTACAGAGCAACATTAAATTAATAGTCAATAATCCTTAAACAAGCATTTTTCCTCATTATTTTGCATAAAACCACTTCTACTTTATCATTATGATTTCAGTAGAAATTTTCAACAGTGCATCAGCAACAGAAGGTTTGTCCACAGAACCCAAAATAGCACTCAGTGCCAACCAACCCTAACTGAGCCAACTATAAGAGAGCAAGCGTTAGCCCAGCTTTCCCTCAGGGCTAATCTGTCCCTCGTCAGAGCTAGCTTGAGCTCTGATTCAGATATCTTAAGATATCTGAATGCATGGTAGATTCCCAGCTAAAAAGACGATCATGACTTCACCACATACTGTGAAGCTGTTATGACACCTCGTGTGATTTCCGGGAACTGAAAAGATTTCTCTGCCTTGTCTCATTAACTCCCTTCTATCCTCAAATTGGTTTTGGAGATTTGGGAGTCTGTATTTGGTTCCTCCTGGGAACTTTATTTATATGGGAAACTGCAGCACAAGGACATCGTGGGACCATTTCTCTCAAAGCCTAGCAAATGGAATAGTCATACTTCAGGACAACCTTGTCCTCCTGGGATCCAAAACTCAACCCCCTCCCTGGTGACTTCTTTCTTCCTGCACTCTCCCATCTGTCTCTCTCTCTCTCGTTTCCTTCCTCCTACAACACACAGCAGGACGGCCGTGCTGAGGCCATGCAGGTGTTTTGGAAACCGATACCACTCAGGCCACCCCTGAGCTGGGATATAAGAAGTCTCCGCACAGCTGGAGAGGGGCAAGAGGGGCAGCCTGAGGGGCTGGGAGCCCAGGAGCTTGTCCCTCCTCTCCCCTTTCCACTCTGCGCTCCTGTTTTGCTGTCTCGTCGCTCAGCGGGGCAGGGCTTGCTTGGCCTCGCTGTGCTGCACACGGCCGCGGCCGTTGGAAAGTATTTTCCTTATCTAGGCAACTTTGGAGGATCTCCCCGAGAGCAACTTCCTGGGCTCAGGGAATTTGTCTGTACTGCAAGGCAGCACATGACTTTCAGCTCCCAGTTAGCAGAAACTCTATCCTCGCCTCCCGTATCAACCGTCCGGCCGAACCCGGCACCAAGCAAAGGCAGACGGGCAGATATTCTAGACAGACAGACTGAGTGCTTAGCGGCCGTATCAGCCTGCACATCTCACTTCTCGGCACACAGGATGTATCTGCTTGGAAGAATCCTTTTTTCCTTCAAGAATCAGTTGTCTCTCTCTCTCTCTCTCTCTCTCTCTCTCTCTATATCTTTGAAGGGCAGAAATATTAATCAGAAAGTTACTGATTTTATTTCCAGGCATTATTGCTTTACTATCTTGCACAGCGTAATATCAATAAAATACCACCTTTTCCAATATAAAGCTTACTAGTTTCGTATTACTTTGTTGAATTTTAATAATAATAAAAAAAGATCTTAACTGCTATTTCAGCAAAATTCCTCTCCAGTGGCATATGAGAACAGCTGGGATTACTTACTCTGCAGTCTGAGTAGGGTACAGATTTCATTTTCTACTACAAGATGGCTTTAGCAAAAGATAATTTTGAAAAAAAAATATTAACTGCTTTGATCGTAGTAGTGAAATAACTTGGAATGATTTAACTCAGAATCAAGACTGTTTAAAACATAAACCTTTAAAAAGGCTAAAGTTCCATTATATTAAACTGATATCTTTGGCCAAAAAGAAACATATTTTATTACTACTCTGTCATACAATAAGGCATCAGACATTTAATTCTAAAAGAATATTATATTTTAAAATATATTGTTTCTATGGCAGAGACTCAGGTTTCCCAGCTAAATATAGTCCTGAACCATTAGTCTACATGTGGATGTAAAAATGATGGCAGTCTTAAGAAAATTATTGAGAGACTAAAAAAAGGTAGGAGTCTAATCAACCTAATACAGAATCGTCCTGTCTGTGCCTGTTAAGCTATATGATGAATAAAGTTCTCACAAGAAAAATAATTAATCCAAAGGCAGAACTTTCACAATTGCTAACTGCAATATTAATAAGAAAATCACGCACGCAGACGGCTCATACGGTCTGCTTTTACTCCTCTAAGCCCTGCCTGGAAAAAAGGCATAAAGCACAACACTGCACAATCTCACGTCTGCCACTGTAAAATTTCTACCCTCCCAGGACACTCACCTCTGCTAGTCAGTTTGTTTATGCAGCAAAACTACTGGCATGTATCCCAAAATAGCTCACGTAAACGGTAACTTCATTTTACCCTTCAGCCTCCAAAACTTTATATTTTAAGTTTATTGCTGAAACAAATCTGCTGAAAAAAAAAATGAAGAAACTATTCCAAAGTTCAGGGAGTGACCAAATGTGAAAATCTTATGAAATAGATCTTGTTAGAAAAATAATAGATACAGTGTTGCAAAAGAGAAAAGCTAAATAATTGTTTCGTATTATTAACTGTGAAACTTAGCAGCTGAACATGTTCAACAAGCATGCAGAACCTATCGAACCACAATTAAATCCTGTCACTTTCTTGGGACGTGTCTGCGTGTCATAATAGGACGGGAAGCTCGAAAGAAAAAAAAAAAAAAAAAAAAAAAACAAGCACGTTACCACATTGCATCGGCAGTCCTTAAGGAGCTGGTAGATCGGGATCTTGGCTTCATAACAATGCTCATTCTGAAAAAATCCTCAAGTATTTTTAGCCGTCAGACATCAGTTGGCCTTAACAAGCTGCTTCTCCGAGTATTCCATTTCCAAGTGTTTTTTAAAATCCTCTGAAGTCCTTCTCCTGTGATAAAGTACGCTCCGAAGGAAGAAATCTAACACGCTGCAACTCCTTCCTTTTTCACACTGCATTTACTCCAGCCCTGTGCTGTTCGGAAATGACAGTGCTTTTCTCTTCTGTCTTGTATTGCCCTGGGAGGAACTAGTCTATTTTGAATCTATTCTCCCCGTAGGTCACATGGGACCCAAGGCAGCTAAAAAGTGTCTCTATCTCTCTTGCAGCATTATAACAACAGGTTTAAAGGTTAATTACACTGAAAAAAAAGAACAGTACTGATGGATAGTAAATGAAAGGAAAAGATGAATGTAAGGCATGGTCAGGCAGGGAATTTCCAATTGGAGACTTGCTAGATAAATTAATCTCTGTAGAGTAAAGAAAGGAACAAAGATTTTTATTCAAAGGAAACTAAAATCTTACCTAGAAATATAATTCTTCCCTTTCTCCTAACCACTGCCTCTTTTAGATACTGTGAATTAGTACTATTGTTTAACTTCACAAAACAGAAAGTATTCCCTATCTGAAAGAAATTTAAAACTCCGTGGGGAAGTTAAATAAAAACAAAACTCCTTTTTGTCTGTTCAAGTCAAACACACATACAGACAGCTATTGTTATAAATCAGTGAAGGACAAAATACCTCTGTAAAAGACCTCTAATATGACGTTTTCTCTACTACACTGCAAAAGGAGACCTTTTCCTGTTATAACAATGACTCTGATAACTTCTGCAGCACAAACAGCAACACTTTCATTTGTAATCTCCAGCCAAAAATTTATCACAAAAGCTTTGAGAATTAATTCGGTTTAGGAAATATTAATGTGAGCTCACTTGGTAATTTCACTGTTAGGTGAAGAAAGGAAACCCACAAAACTGGATTATAAACGTGCAGTTTACATTATATATTTTGAATATGCTCTGAATAGTATTGGAATTGTTTTTAAACTGAGAGCAGAGTTATTGCTCAACAAGTGGTTACATGCAGAATAGCCATTCCTTTGTACAGTGTTTACATCTGTTGCAGCCTATTACTGACTGCAGCTTGGTTCATAATGAAAGAAAACACAAAAATTTGTACTTAGGTAATGTATAGAGACTTGGTATATAGGAAAAAAAATGGTATATAGTTTATGTAAAAAGTATGAAAACATTCATCAAATAAGAATAATTCAAAATGTTCACTCAAAATTCAATTTCATTCATTTCTGGCTGACAGTCTGTAAAACTCTTTTGAACTTTTGCACTTTATTTTATAACAGTACCATAAAATGCATTACGGACTATGTTATATTTCGACAGGAAAGAGCCAACTGCCCTCAAGGCTTTTGCCAGTTATCTGCATATAAATTGTTTCACAAAAAAAAAAAAAAAAAAAAAAAAAAGAAAAAAAAAAAAAAAAAAAAAAAACAGAAAGAACATGAATAACATTTCATGCTAAGCATTCTGTTCTTCCTTTTTTCTGGGCTCTATCTTTGAATTAGCATCTGATGGTTAACAGAGAAGTGTCCTGTGGAATCATGAAAGTCAGTCTCTAACAGTGGAAAAAGCATCTGAGATAAATTTAGCTTGAAGGGTCATACAGTCATGAGACCTTTAATAACACTTGGGTCTGTCTCTGTACAGGTCACATGCCTATAGTAGTGGACATAAATCCGGCAGCTTTTGTGGAATCTTTTTTACTCTGAAAGAAATGATCCTGAAGAAAAACAAAATAAGTATGAAATAGAAGTGCCTGACTATTATGGAGGAGCTGGTATTTTTAAAGCTTTTTCTAAGTTGGCCTAGCTATTATTTAATGTTATTCAAAATTATTCCCATATTGGTATATGAAACAAACTAAAAAATAGAGCTTTAGCAATATCGTCTCACATTCCACTCTGGCATGAAATATTCAAGGACAAAATCTCCTGTGTCACACAGTATTTTTTTTATTCTCCAAGCTCTGTCACTCAAGATGCTGCCTCTGACCATATAAGGTGCTTGCAGTTAAAATACTATTTTCAGTGAAAAGGTTCCCCCAAATATCTGATAAAGGTGCAGATCATCAGTGGAGGCACTTACTAACTAATGTCTATTGCTAATAAGCTTTCTTTTTTGGTCTCCTTCATCAGCTCCTTAGAAATAAATCACAGGCCAACTTCAGACTGGAATCCATGAGGAAATATATATTAATTTACTGCAAGAGGACTGCTATACTGCAACCATACATATCCCAAGTGGTTAAAACACAACCTGTCCCTAAGGTGCCAATCTGTAGCACATGCTTCCCTCAGCAAAGAAAGTATCAATAGAAGGGAGGGGACAAAATCCTCCAAGGAATGTTAATATTATATGAGATTCACAAATTGATCAAGCTAAAAACCACCAAACAAAACAAACTAGAGTTCTCCTTTTTTTTTTTTTTTTTTTTTTTTTTCCCCCCTCCTCTCCAGTCTGGATTTGTACCTTGCAAGCCTTGTGGAAGTAAGGACAATTTCAAAGTGCCTGTGTCTTTTCAGCTCTGCTAACGGGAACGGATTTTTACATGTAACCCAGACATTCAAAAGTTGCTATGAGAAAGATCAACCTCTTCCAGACATGCTTCTAAGAAAATCCTTTTGAGCGTATTCACCAATTAACAGGAGCTTTTAATTCATATATAAAACCTGTCCTGTTACCATTAATACAATGGCCATTTTTTCATAGATTTGAATAAGGATGGGAGCAGACCTATGTACTCTGCTGTGCAAGATGACAGGTAGCTTCTTTTAGGACCCAGGTCCTGAGAAGTGGTAGAGGAAGATGTGTAACAAAATATACCAGGAATAGCAAATGAAACTTCTCAAAGACATAAGAAATTGCAATATCAGGTCCAACGGAATTATAAGAGCTGAGCCTTAAATATAAAGAGATGGAGAATGTATATATGTTCATTCGAGATATTATTTTTCCCAGAATGGCTTTTTATGATTAAAAAGCTATTGCATACTCTGGGTCCTAAGCCCAAAACACCAAAAGGTAATTTATATACAGATAAATACATAAACTAGTATAATAAAGTGGAAATACAATAATTTACTATTGTGCAGATGCACAGTGTTTTAGAGAGGTGCCTTTTTTTTTTTTTTTGCACGTGAAAGCAAGCATTATTTAAGACAAATGCAATCGCCTCTTGCAACATCTGATTTGTACAATTTATTCAATAACTTATGAGCACTGCATTTCTTTTCCTTTCTTGCAGTCCTTGTTTTGAGTAGGAGCGACAAAGAGAACAAAAGGTTGTGGAACTAAGCACTTGTTAGGCCACCACAACTAAGGTAAGTGTTGATCGTACAATGAAAATAAGAAAAAAAAATTATTAGATAAAGAGAATGCTAAGAGATGGAGCACTTTAGTACTGCTACTCACTGATAATAAAAGCAACAAGAAAAACAATATTTTATCTGCTTCTCTCAAACAGATGATATTTTGACTGCATAGTCAAGCTCTATAAGGAAGAATATAGAAGTAATTTAAAACACCCATAACAAAAGTGTGCCCAATTCAACCCACTTTAAGGGTGCTTTCATCTTAGTTACTTAGCCTCAAACTAGTAAGAATCGAATGCAAACCACTGCTACATTACACAAAAATACCATGAAATAGAAAATCATAGCTTAGATTACAAGGTGCAGGCCTGCTTGTTCTGTTCTACACTGGGGAACACGTTAGTGTTGAGAGTTTGGAAGATTTGCTTAAACATGCTGAGATTTGTTTTTCTCATTTGTAAAACTGGGATAACACCTGTCAATCTGCTTTGAATAGCACTGAGACATCAGGGGAATGAAACCACATAACACGTGCCAGGTTATTATTATTGTTGCTATTGTTATATACAAGTTGAAGAAAGAGTCACAATCTTCCTTTAAAGAAAAGAGAAAAGCCTCTAATTTGACAAGGATTGAGTTTAAGATTGAGAGCTACACCTGCAATAGGTAGTACCATTTTTAGTGTTTACTGGAGTAAAAAAGTCGGGACTTTCCAGCAAATATGCTTTAATTTAGGACTGTGAGGGACACTGCCAGTGTATGAAGGAAAATACAGAAACCTGGAAGCCTAAATCAAGTCTTAACATGCAAAGGATGAACGAGCTCTTAAGTATGTTGTTTGGAATGCACATTAGCAAATGTAGGGTATATTACACACCTCTATTTCTTGAAAGGCAAATTCAGGTTCATGATAAATTTACTTCTAATAGGATTACCATAGCTTCTCTAAAAACCTGGAACTGGGTTAATTTGCTCAGGACTATCCCCCAGCATTGCTTCGATACCCTGGTTTTCTGAACCCTTTGTACCCTTCCTTTCATATTTTTTTTCATATATGTTTGCCAGCTTACACGCTTATATGAAATGCAGCTTTCCATATAGGAGAAGCATGCGCTGAGACTGGAACCCAACCCTTCTTGGGGCACCTACTCCACGAAAGGGAAACCATCTCTCAAAGCCAAGCTCCGTATCCACATCCAGTTTTGTACAGCTGCAGCTCGCAGAGTTAGTTCTGCCCAACTACACCCCACAAGAACAGGAATGCTAATGTAAAGCAGGTGTGTTTAATCATTCTTTGGGAGTAATGCTATCACTTGCTAGGCTGATTAAACAGGATATCTGCAAATTGCAGATCTCTGAAGAAAGTAAAGTTTGAATCTGAACAGAATTTATAGAAGACAGTAGGGCCCTAGGGCATACAGATCCTCCCAGTCATTCTTCCACAAAAACAGTAGTTACTAGGAAGATCTTGCCTGGGGGTTTAATTCCAGGTATAAGAGTCCAACTGGGGTTTACATTTTTTCACTTAAATTAATGAATGATTAGCAGCCTTTTATTTTTGTAGATCTAGATGTAACATAGTAACTATGATAATATTTGTAATGAAACAAACAAATTAGAGTGGAGTAAAAGAACTAGCATTTTTTACTGTCAAGAATGCTTATCAAACAGATGTATCGCATCCCCAGGGAAGTATACGTTTAGTTCATCCTCTTATATCCTGAAGTGCAGTACATGACTGAAGGACAGAAAAGATTATCAAGATGTTCTCATTTTGTGTTTGAGAACTAGTAATGCAACCGTTGGTAGAGAAGAGACATCT